TTTAAACTACTGATTTTTACTTGATTCAAATATTTAAAGCTTATTCAGCTAATAGGATAAATTTTTATAAGGAGCTTGATTATAAAATATGATTACGTTGGTATGCCTCTATTGTTAGTGTAATAACATTTTTGTTGTAAAATGGGATTAGCGCAAAACATGAAATATCATGTAATTGAACCTTTTTATTGTATTAAATTCTAGCATATAAAATATATAGAGAGAATTAATTCGAATAAATTAAGGGAATTTATTAGAAGAAATTATTGTAATGTAATTAAGATAAAATCTACTATATGGAAATGTATAAATTAATATAATAAAAAACGAAGAAAGATGTAAACTGAATGGTATCCAAGATTTGATAAATAATTTACATACATAGAAGAACCTAACTCTTTGTCTATTTTAATGTTAATTTTAATTTTAGTTCTAGTTTTATTTTATCCATTTCTGCCTTTATGATTTCTCTCTTTTTTTAATGTTAATTGGTTAATCAATTATTGACGATAGTATATTTTTACAAAATTTAGGAAACCTTCATCTTTAAATTATAAGCCATTATGAAACCTTTAAATAGACCGGTCCTTCTTTTTACCCAATTCCTTCACTACACTGTAATTAATTACTTGAGATTCTTCATTCATTGTTGTTAAATTATTTCATTCTTTTATACATAAATTTTCCTTCTCTTCTCATTTATTTTAATTTTCTCCCAGATCTCCTCTCTTTATTATCGTATTCTTCTATCAAATATTTTTCAATAGTTCCATAATAATTTCATAAATACATTGATAAACTCTAAGAATTCTTGATCAAAAATCCCTAAAGTTTGAATCATATCATATCATTTTATATTTAAAGACTCCAGTTCTAACCTTGTTTAATAATCTAGCTCTACTTCTCGGTTACAGTTTATTCTGAATTATATGATTGCTTTTCAAGAGTCAGATTTGGATATGATTACTGCTATACGTTACAAATTTATATGACTTATTTTATTTGCTCCACAAGATCCATTGTACCTCTTGGTCAACAATACATTTTGTTTGGAATGAAATTTTTTATAAACTTTCACTCATGGTTGCAATAAAATAAAAAGTCTTAAATCTGGAATCATTCTAGTAGTAATTTATGTTTTGACTTATAAAAGGAGTATTAATATATATAGAAGATTAATAAGGCAGTTATATATTTTAATTCCTAATTGAACCTGTTGATTAATGATTAGAGGTTTTTTTCAAATAAATGACAACAAAATCCTTCTATATAATATTTTTCTGTTGATTTTCCTATTCTAGGTTAAGAACTTCTTATGAATAATATTTTTAAACAAGGTTAATCATTTACCAAATCTCCCTGAACTTCTAAATGAGATATTAAATAATTGAGAACACTTCTTAAGTCTCTTTATGAAGCGATGCTGAATTATTTTGCCCTCAAAAGGAGTCCTCCTTTTCTCAAAACTAAATTATCCCTTGAAATTTGAAAATAGCTTTTTCATTTCAATAATCTTAATTAATCAATTCTTAAAATGATATATTATATAACCATCAGGGATTTTAATAGAATTCTAGACAAATTACTTTTATATCAAATAGCTTAACTAAATTGATTTTACTCTAAGTTGTATAATATTAAATAATGCGAATGATTTAATTAGGACACTTTTAAGATGCTCCGGCTATTTTATGTCAAGCAAATCAATACTTCATAGCATTGTTATTGATTTGCCATTAATATCTTTAGTCAGTAAACTCCCTAATTACTCTATTATTGTAACATTTATTAACCACATATTATAAGCCCAAATCTCATTCATAACTTACTAGAGATATGAATATTTCACTGGACCTATACTCTACAGTCTCATCCATATCTCTCAAACTTTTAAGTGAAATTTCAATTCAGCATCATGATTAATTCTTCGTCCTATCCCTATAATTTTAAAATTAATGTTCTTCAATTTTGCATTTTAACATTAAATAANATTTCTCTCTTTTTTTAATGTTAATTGGTTAATCAATTATTGACGATAGTATATTTTTACAAAATTTAGGAAACCTTCATCTTTAAATTATAAGCCATTATGAAACCTTTAAATAGACCGGTCCTTCTTTTTACCCAATTCCTTCACTACACTGTAATTAATTACTTGAGATTCTTCATTCATTGTTGTTAAATTATTTCATTCTTTTATACATAAATTTTCCTTCTCTTCTCATTTATTTTAATTTTCTCCCAGATCTCCTCTCTTTATTATCGTATTCTTCTATCAAATATTTTTCAATAGTTCCATAATAATTTCATAAATACATTGATAAACTCTAAGAATTCTTGATCAAAAATCCCTAAAGTTTGAATCATATCATATCATTTTATATTTAAAGACTCCAGTTCTAACCTTGTTTAATAATCTAGCTCTACTTCTCGGTTACAGTTTATTCTGAATTATATGATTGCTTTTCAAGAGTCAGATTTGGATATGATTACTGCTATACGTTACAAATTTATATGACTTATTTTATTTGCTCCACAAGATCCATTGTACCTCTTGGTCAACAATACATTTTGTTTGGAATGAAATTTTTTATAAACTTTCACTCATGGTTGCAATAAAATAAAAAGTCTTAAATCTGGAATCATTCTAGTAGTAATTTATGTTTTGACTTATAAAAGGAGTATTAATATATATAGAAGATTAATAAGGCAGTTATATATTTTAATTCCTAATTGAATCTGTTGATTAATGATTCGAGGTTTTTTTCAAGTAAATGACAGCAAAATCCTTCTATAATATTTTTCTGTTGATTTTCCTATTCTAGGTTAAGAACTTCTTATGAATAATATTTTTAAACAAGGTTAATCATTTACCAAATCTCCCTGAACTTCTAAATGAGATATTAAATAATTGAGAACACTTCTTAAGTCTCTTTATGAAGCGATGCTGAATTATTTTGCCCTCAAAAGGAGTCCTCCTTTTCTCAAAACTAAATTATCCCTTGAAATTTGAAAATAGCTTTTTCATTTCAATAATCTTAATTAATCAATTCTTAAAATGATATATTATATAACCATCAGGGATTTTAATAGAATTCTAGACAAATTACTTTTATATCAAATAGCTTAACTAAATTGATTTTACTCTAAGTTGTATAATATTAAATAATGCGAATGATTTAATTAGGACACTTTTAAGATGCTCCGGCTATTTTATGTCAAGCAAATCAATACTTCATAGCATTGTTATTGATTTGCCATTAATATCTTTAGTCAGTAAACTCCCTAATTACTCTATTATTGTAACATTTATTAACCACATATTATAAGCCCAAATCTCATTCATAACTTACTAGAGATATGAATATTTCACTGGACCTATACTCTACAGTCTCATCCATATCTCTCAAACTTTTAAGTGAAATTTCAATTCAGCATCATGATTAATTCTTCGTCCTATCCCTATAATTTTAAAATTAATGTTCTTCAATTTTGCATTTTAACATTAAATAATATTCCTAAATTAAATATAATTTAGAAACCTTCTTTCTTTTTTTAAATATCTTTGGATATTGTTCTTGATCTCTTTTTATTAAGATTTCTTTTAATTTTTTTTCAGCCCTTATCTCTTTATACAATTATAAAATTTTTCTTAAACTATCAAATATTATTCTGAAAAATAATGCATAATAATTAAATGCTGAACCATTTCGATTAGCAAAAAACAACACCGGCAATCAATTAAAGAATCTAGTTTAGCAATTTCCCTTTGATAATTGTTACATATAAAAAGAATTATAATTTATTTATCACTTATTGGTTTAATAACTTTAAAATTTTACCTTAATTAAATTGAATTAGTAACTTAGAAACTATACTTTGTTCAATTATTTAACCCATATGTAGTATGAAAAAATTAGCTTTTAATTGTAGTGGGAAACTAAGAATAAGAATAAAAATTGTAGAGTTAGACAGCTGTTAATTATAAATTTATACTGATTAGAAAAAGCAAATATAAATTACTCTTCGATTAAATTTATGTTTTAATTAAATTGAAATCTTCTAGTTATTACTAATTCTGAATTTCGAAAATATTTCGTAACTATTATTATGAAGAAATAATGCAAAGCATCATATCGACAAACAAAAACAAGAAATAGAAAATTATAAGATTAATTTCTATCTAAAATTAATATTAATTCTCTCTTGGCTGCTTAAGTTTAAGCTCTCTTGAATAATAATTTATATTTCTTGATGAAACTACCTTTGGTCATTCATACAAATCAATAACAAGTTGGTAGTTAAAATTAAAGTAAAACCTAGATTTATTCCAAAAGGGATAAAACATCAAGCGTATTGGGAGGAATTGGGAATTAAGGATTCGTAGCCTACTAACAAATAATTATGAATTTTGAATTCTCATTTTATTTGTTTCATCAATAATAAATAACAAAATAAGCTATAATTTTATAAAGAATAAGAATTTGCAGTAGTGTTAGATAATAGTCCAATACATTAGCAAATTGATCAAAGAATTTTTAAATAGTGTTACTTACATATTTTTACCGGAATATTGCCCTGTATTAAATCCAATACAATAAGTTTGGAATTAATTAAAAAGAATGGCTAATAATAATAGTAATATATTGCATATGAATTTAAATAACAAAAATTCATAATTTTTTATGTTTAGACTGAATAAATGATTGAAAGATAAATAGACGGATCACTTTATAAAAGGCATTTTATATGTTAAAATTATGAATTATTGAAATATTCATATATGTATCGATTAACTAATTATTAATTATTCATTGATGGAAAAACATTTATCTTTATAAGTTGAAAAAATGATTGAATTTTAAGGAGCTTATAGGTATAGAAGATAAAAATTAATGTCAAAATGAATTTATATGTTTGTGTTATTAAAGTAATGGTAGACCTAAATTTTGTGCAATAAATATGTTTTATTTATAGACAAAATTCAAATATTTCTAATAATGATAATATTCATCTTTTTAATATATATAACTCGTCAAACTTAGATTGAGATCTATTAGTTTAATGCAAGTTCAAATTTCAGTGATGGTAATGTATCATTACTTACATAATAGAATGGGTAGGTGGATATTTTAGAAATTGTGGAGATGTTGAATATTTTGGGCCCTCCATTAGCAGGATATTTTTAAATTTAGAATCTCATTCTCATATTATAGTTGATGCATATCTTCTAAGGTAATTATTTTCTAAATTACAAAGCGATTATTCCTCTATGACTGATTTTTGGATAGATGAATCAACTCAACCTTATTACTTATCCTACAGTTAGAAATACTGCGGTTCAACATTAATATATTTTTATAATATTTCTAGAACTCTTCAGCACAAAAGAAGAACTGTTTTGATGGAATTTTATTTACATCATGGAGGATTAATTTCACTAAAATTAAGTATTATTAAATGTTAATATGAATGTGCTGGATGCATCGAGAATTATCATGCAACATATTAATAATGGAAGCTACATTAATACTCATTAAATGATAAACTAAGCCAAAATTTAGATGGATGGACTTTTGTATCAAATAATAGTTAATATTAAATGTTTGGTTGTGGAGGATGCTAATTTTAGTAATTTCTTGAGCTTAATTATTCTACTGAATTACCTCCTCATTAAGATGTATTAATCAGGTTTTTTAAAATTGATAGGAATACTTTAATAGTAAATTACTTATAGTAAATGACAGCAAAATCCTTCTATAATATTTTTCTGTTGATTTTCCTATTCTAGGTTAAGAACTTCTTATGAATAATATTTTTAAACAAGGTTAATCATTTACCAAATCTCCCTGAACTTCTAAATGAGATATTAAATAATTGAGAACACTTCTTAAGTCTCTTTATGAAGCGATGCTGAATTATTTTGCCCTCAAAAGGAGTCCTCCTTTTCTCAAAACTAAATTATCCCTTGAAATTTGAAAATAGCTTTTTCATTTCAATAATCTTAATTAATCAATTCTTAAAATGATATATTATATAACCATCAGGGATTTTAATAGAATTCTAGACAAATTACTTTTATATCAAATAGCTTAACTAAATTGATTTTACTCTAAGTTGTATAATATTAAATAATGCGAATGATTTAATTAGGACACTTTTAAGATGCTCCGGCTATTTTATGTCAAGCAAATCAATACTTCATAGCATTGTTATTGATTTGCCATTAATATCTTTAGTCAGTAAACTCCCTAATTACTCTATTATTGTAACATTTATTAACCACATATTATAAGCCCAAATCTCATTCATAACTTACTAGAGATATGAATATTTCACTGGACCTATACTCTACAGTCTCATCCATATCTCTCAAACTTTTAAGTGAAATTTCAATTCAGCATCATGATTAATTCTTCGTCCTATCCCTATAATTTTAAAATTAATGTTCTTCAATTTTGCATTTTAACATTAAATAATATTCCTAAATTAAATATAATTTAGAAACCTTCTTTCTTTTTTTAAATATCTTTGGATATTGTTCTTGATCTCTTTTTATTAAGATTTCTTTTAATTTTTTTTCAGCCCTTATCTCTTTATACAATTATAAAATTTTTCTTAAACTATCAAATATTATTCTGAAAAATAATGCATAATAATTAAATGCTGAACCATTTCGATTAGCAAAAAACAACACCGGCAATCAATTAAAGAATCTAGTTTAGCAATTTCCCTTTGATAATTGTTACATATAAAAAGAATTATAATTTATTTATCACTTATTGGTTTAATAACTTTAAAATTTTACCTTAATTAAATTGAATTAGTAACTTAGAAACTATACTTTGTTCAATTATTTAACCCATATGTATTATGAAAAAATTAGCTTTTAATTATATTGCGAAACTAAGAATAAGAATAAAAATTGTAGTGTTAGACAGCTGTTAATTATAGATTTATACTGATTAGAAAAAGCAAATATAAATTACTCTTCGATTAAATTTATGTTTTAATTAAATTGAAATCTTCTAGTTATTACTAATTCTGAATTTCGAAAATATTTCGTAACTATTATTATGAAGAAATAATGCAAAGCATCATATCGACAAACAAAAACAAGAAATAGAAAATTATAAGATTAATTTCTATCTAAAATTAATATTAATTCTCTCTTGGCTGCTTAAGTTTAAGCTCTCTTGAATAATAATTTATATTTCTTGATGAAACTACCTTTGGTCATTCGTATTTCGAGGAATTGGGAATTAAGGATTCGTAGCCTACTAACAAATAATTATGAATTTTGAATTCTCATTTTATTTGTTTCATCAATAATAAATAACAAAATAAGCTATAATTTTATAAAGAATAAGAATTTGCAGTAGTGTTAGATAATAGTCCAATACATTAGCAAATTGATCAAAGAATTTTTAAATAGTGTTACTTACATATTTTTACCGGAATATTGCCCTGTATTAAATCCAATACAATAAGTTTGGAATTAATTAAAAAGAATGGCTAATAATAATAGTAATATATTGCATATGAATTTAAATAACAAAAATTCATAATTTTTTATGTTTAGACTGAATAAATGATTGAAAGATAAATAGACGGATCACTTTATAAAAGGCATTTTATATGTTAAAATTATGAATTATTGAAATATTCATATATGTATCGATTAACTAATTATTAATTATTCATTGATGGAAAAACATTTATCTTTATAAGTTGAAAAAATGATTGAATTTTAAGGAGCTTATAGGTATAGAAGATAAAAATTAATGTCAAAATGAATTTATATGTTTGTGTTATTAAAGTAATGGTAGACCTAAATTTTGTGCAATAAATATGTTTTATTTATAGACAAAATTCAAATATTTCTAATAATGATAATATTCATCTTTTTAATATATATAACTCGTCAAACTTAGATTGAGATCTATTAGTTTAATGCAAGTTCAAATTTCAGTGATGGTAATGTATCATTACTTACATAATAGAATGGGTAGGTGGATATTTTAGAAATTGTGGAGATGTTGAATATTTTGGGCCCTCCATTAGCAGGATATTTTTAAATTTAGAATCTCATTCTCATATTATAGTTGATGCATATCTTCTAAGGTAATTATTTTCTAAATTACAAAGCGATTATTCCTCTATGACTGATTTTTGGATAGATGAATCAACTCAACCTTATTACTTATCCTACAGTTAGAAATACTGCGGTTCAACATTAATATATTTTTATAATATTTCTAGAACTCTTCAGCACAAAAGAAGAACTGTTTTGATGGAATTTTATTTACATCATGGAGGATTAATTTCACTAAAATTAAGTATTATTAAATGTTAATATGAATGTGCTGGATGCATCGAGAATTATCATGCAACATATTAATAATGGAAGCTACATTAATACTCATTAAATGATAAACTAAGCCAAAATTTAGATGGATGGACTTTTGTATCAAATAATAGTTAATATTAAATGTTTGGTTGTGGAGGATGCTAATTTTAGTAATTTCTTGAGCTTAATTATTCTACTGAATTACCTCCTCATTAAGATGTATTAATCAGGTTTTTTAAAATTGATAGGAATACTTTAATAGTAAATTACTTATATGGTAAAAAAGTTATTAATTATCATTATTTAATAGAAATATTGATAAGAAATCATTAAGATCCTATATTATCATTAAATTTTAAAATCCCAGGTTCATATCCTGGCCAAATAAGAGATTTTGAATTATTTTATACAGAGCCATTAATAAAGGTTCCAACTTTAAATGAAGGTTGTTTAGAGTAAATTGATGAGAAATGTCTGATTTGCCAAGAAGGTTGGATTTAAGCTGAATTCTTTGAAAATTGTCATCCAATTTGTGGAAATGGAATTATAGAAGGTCAAGAAGAATGTGATGATCATAATCTAACATCTAATCATACATGTTTTTAATGTAAATATTAATGTGTACAATTTTGTTAAATTTGTTAATTTGGAATTTGTTTACAATGTATAGATGGATTTACACTTGTTGGATTTACTTGTGATCCTGTGTGTGGAGATGTTAATTTAACTCCATATTCAGTTGAGTAATGTGAATTGGCAGTTAATGGGGTATGGGATGGTTGTAAGGATTGCAGATTTATTTAAATTGCTGATTGTAAAACTCACTACTTTTCAATTTGCTTGGAGTGTGATATAGGATTTTAGATGATAGAAAATGTATGTTATCCTAATTGCGGAGATAAAATCATTCTGGAATAATATGAGGATTGCGATGATGGAAATTTACAACCTTATGATGGATGCTATTAATGCAAATTCCAATGTATTGAAGATTGCAACATATGTAATCGAGGATAATGCATTTTGAAGTGCTCAGAAGGATATTAATTTATAAACGATAGTTGTCACTCTGTTTGTGGTGACCAAATGGTCACAAAAGAAGAAGATTGCGATGATGGAAATTCAATATAGTTTGATGGTTGTTTTTAGTGCAAGTATTCTTGTCCAGAAAATTGTATTGATTGCTATAAAGGTAATTGTTTAGAGTGCAATTATCAATACGAGTTATTAATTTCGAATGAATGCAAATTATAATTAAAATGCGGAGATGGATTGCTTTACGAATAAGAGGAATGTGATGATGGAAATTATGAAGCAGCCGATGGATGCTATGATTGTTTAATTGAATAAAATTGGATTTGCATAACAATAACAAGAGATTCTCCTAGCTAATGCACTTTTGTTCAAGCTCCAAACCTAGGAATAAATTATCTTAATATGACTTAAAATAAATAATATATTAGCCTCTAATTTAATTAATAAGTATAGATATATACATCATAACCCTTATCAGAAACTATATATTTTGAATTATTAGAAATAGACAAAAAGCACTGGAACAGCAGCTTATTTATAATATAGGATGTTGAATCATATTTAAGTTTTGGAGAGTACGTTATTTAAATAGAAGTTAACTAACTGCTTGACTTTAGGCCAGTCTTGAAAATTGGAGTAAATCAAACAGTTGCTAATATCATGGGTGTTGTTTTGGTTGATTCTGAAAAATACATTAAATTAGAATACCCAAAATATCTAGATGAAACACAGAAGCAATATTCTTAAAGTTTGAAAAGTGTTAATGAATATTTAATTTATAGTTTATCTGGGATTACTGCAGTAAGTCTTCTATTAGGAAGTGGAGATTTATTTGTTGAAATTTTGGCGATCCTTTAATTTTAGCAGTACTTAAGATATCTCAATTTATTATTCCCTGAAAATCTAGAGATTTATTTTTCTATTAATGATCTGATAACTATTCAACCTCTCTTGGATTTTATGCAATTTCCACAATTCTTCTAGATTATTGATATTTAGTCAAATTAAGAATATTCTAATGGAAAATTTAAAATGTATAAATAAAGCACAAACTTACTAACAAATCTTTCTTGCCAAATACTTTAATGCTTGGGATTTTTATTCCTTATATTATTGATGAAATGGATTAAAAGAGTTTTATACTCATGGATATTTTGTTCTAGGTTCTTTTACTATATGTCGAAGTTGTCATTATACATTAATCCAAAATACATTTTTAAGTTTAGTTAATCTTATTATAATATTTGCCAGGATTTGCTAAAATTAGAGAAATTTATGTCCCTTTATGGATTATAAAAAGTCTTACTCCTCAATGGCTGGGATATGATTTTTAAAACTCTATTGTCTACTCAAAACATCTAAGCCAAAAATTACTTAGATATTGTACAACTTGTTATCATAGGCATTCTTCTCATTCTGTACTTTAGCATAATACTAAATATTTTCAAAGTTAATCAAAAACTATCAAAAGGTAGCCAATATGAGTAGTTTTAAATTCAAAATTTTGGCAGATAATTTTTCTTTATTTTTTTCTTGATTTATAGCTAAAATTCACAAATACTTTAATTGGGACTTCTCCTCTTAACAAGCTTATTTTAAATCAGATTAGTTTATAATTATCGTAGTGTCTTTAATTCAAAGAATTATATTGTGTAGATGGTGGTTGAGATATCAGTATTTACTTTTATGTGTAGTTCATTTTTATATATATAGGAGTTTAATGAGTATTTTATTTAAAATAATAAAATTAAGCTAGGGTGGATTCAAGCAATCTTATTATCTCAAGGTATAATTATAGAATTGATTATGATTTCCTAAGAGGTTTTATTAAAATTGATCTAGAAATGTAGAAAAAAGTCAGAAGTTGTGGATAATCTAAAAAAACTATGAATTTTACAACTAATTTGTTACAAATCAAAGTGAATAAAAATTATTTTTTTCAGTCACTTTGAAATATAATACAAAATCTATTCTTAATCTTATAATTATAAATAGATTATGATATTATATATTAATTAAATTTATTTTTCATATCTTGTAAATCTCTAGATATTATAGGTAAATTAATAGCAACAATGATAGATCTATTTTCTAAGTTGGTACTCGATATGTTTTGAAACTCGATTGCAAAAGCTAAGAATATGATACTCATATGTTATTCTAATAAAAATTATTAACTCCCTTATGTATTAGCCCTAGGTATACATAAGAAGATCTAAATATTAATGCGGCGATTAATGTTATGCAGTAATAAATACATTCTTTACCTCACTATTATATAAATATTATTATCACATGATAGAAGGTTTAAGGTCTATCAGGTGTTGTTTTTATAGAAAAATATTTCTCAATTTACAAAATATGATTTTATAAATCAATTGAATTATCAACACAGCTTAGAACTTCCTAAGGAATGGACATAATAGTAGAAAAAATATAATTTTATATAGCCAATATGATTGAAAGTTCATATCATAATTATGAATGAAACTAGAGTATGAATTGAAATAATTTCCTCATTTTTGGAAAAGAGCTAAGCAAAAAATAAAATCATATTATTTACAAATTTTTGATATCTTGTCTGTAAATTTAGATTACAGCTTTAATATTGTTAAATTATATAGCATAGGCTTGAATTATCATGATATCATCCATCCACATTTGAATGATTAACATATTAGTTTGTAGTTAATTCTCGCTGTTTCACACATCCTAATTCTTATAATGAGTTTAACCATTATTTCTCAAATAGGAAACATTAGCATAGCAAACTTAATTGTCCCATAATCTTTATTGATATTTGTATCCCCTAAAAATATTAAAATCAATTTACTTTCAAAGTTACCTCTTCTCCCTTAGATAGAATGCTGTTTTCCTATAACTAATCAGTTGCCTCTTTAGTGAATCTTGGATTGAATTTATTCGAAATAAATTATATTCAATATACCAAAATGTAAATGTGATTTGCTTGAAGATTAAACTGTAAAGTTGTAATATTTAATTTCAAATGATATATCTAGTATTCATAGCTTTATTAAATTTCTAAATTATATAGTATTGGATTTCCTAAAATCACATCTAAAATTGAGTTCCTCCAATTCGATACACACTTGGACCAATTTTAAGCAAAAATCCAGTCTTATTTCAAAAGCAATAGCCATTTTTGTCACCTTTAATTTAAGATAAGAATAAATAGATGCTACAATGGCTTTAAAGTACCTTATAATAAATTTGAGATATATGGCAAAAAAAAATGACTTATAAAATCCAAATGTTATTTTTCTTACTTGATTGATCATAATGATTTTTTTTTTTGTGTTAACCAAGAAATGGAATGAATGTTCTTAAAACATGGATTTGATTTTTATGTTATAGCATAATTAGGAAAGGACCAGAATGAGAAGCCAAAGGTAATGGTTTTTATAATTGATGTAAAAAGTTGATACTGAATCAATAGTAATAGGAACTTAATTTTACTTCATTAATGCACTATTAAACATAAATCAGAAAAAAGAATATTTAAAAGTATACAAATTAGGATTTCTTTGAGATATAGAGGAGCCTTTACTTCTTATTTGATAATTGGTAGTAAAGTTGGATTATGGATTGATATATACGAAAATTATTATTGATGATTATGCATTATATATTATTAGCTGATGTAAAATTACTCAAATAGGAGAGAATTAGGTTAAGTATAAAATTTGTAGATGGGATACAATTTTTTAAAACAAAATTATGTATAAAAAAAATATTATTTAGAGTTTAAAATACAATAAAAGCACTAATAATAATCAGAATGGATTGTAAAATGGAATATGAATAGAATTAAATGAGAATTTTTATTAGTATTATAAAGATCACTACTTTAAAGTTGCTGTTAAGTTATATACAGAAAAGAATATAAAGCAATATTAATACTATTTTTTTGGAAAGTGACACAATTATCTAATAACTATTAACTTCATATATTTTAGTGGAGTAGGAAATTATGATATTAATAAATTAAAAAAGGGATTTAATATGTAATATATCATTATTTACTATTTAGATACTATAAATACATTTAAAATGCAATCTATCAAAATCAAGTTTTTTTTAAAAAAATTACTTCCTCATAAGCTTAAATTCTAATATTTAGAGAATTAAATTTTATTTTAATTTTGCCTCTGCAATACTAATTTTAATAAGATAATAAATAGACAATTTTATTAAAAATATCTAAAATAAATAACTATATCAATACAACAGTTTTTCTTCAAATAAATAAAAAATTATAAAAAATTAATTAAGATTATAGTTCCTTTTTATTTATTTGGATTTCTAGATGAAAGAATTGTTCTAATTCTATTATATTACTTTTAGATTTCGTTGATATAAAAAAATTGAGGGGAAGAATTTATTAAACTTAATTCAAATTTTGGTTTAATTTGATATAAATTAAATTAATTAGCTTTTTATGAATAAAAGATATTTAATTTGAATTATTATCTGTTGCAAATAAAATCAATATATCTAGCCTTTTTATTCCATTAATGTTCCTCAACTCAGACCTAAGGAAAGAGATGATTTTTCAAATCTTAGAATCTCTTTTCAAATTAAGAATCTATACAGAGAGCGGGTGTATAATATCCAAAAGTCCTCTGCCTTGGCACATTTAATATGACAGGTCTATTTTTAAGATTTCTGCTCTACATCTTTCTATTTTGCATTTCGATAAGTTTTAAGGGTAAAAATGAACCTATAGTAACATATGATAGTTATATGAGACTACCAATTCGTTTAAGGCTTTTCAGTTGTTTATCCAATTTAGTATAATCATTCTAACAATCAGTAATCAAACAGATGCAGATTTTTTTTTCTTAAAATCATAATTCTTCTTTTGAAACTCATAAAATAAATCAATTAAGTTTCTATATTATTTTTGGGAGTCAAATTATGAAAATATGCTGTGTTACCAGAACAATTTAATGGTTTCTATTTAAGTGAATTGTTAATCGAATTTCCTAATAGCTGAATCTATTTCATTTCTCATAGAGTCATTGTTGTCAAAAATGGCAACGAAAAATTTTTCAAAATCATCACCTTACGGTTTAATTTGAGATTAAAGGGATTCAGGGAGATGATCAAATTCATCGTTGACATAGATTGTCATTGTCTATTGCATGCCAATAGCTAATATATTTTCAAGAATTCTAATAGCATGCTTTGGAGCCAAGACTTTCTTTATGAATCTAACTTAATCAAATTCCTTCAACATCAGATTCAGCTCCGTTAATAGATCATATGTTTCTTCATCGAACTAGGTCAATTAGACTCTTTCAAAAACTGACTCAAGCTCATTGAGAGTGGATTTATAGTATGCATTAAGAATTTCAAGAACATTTTACTAATTTTCATTTTGTGTGAATAAGGACTTGTATTTTCTAAATCCATTAATTATGATTTAATTCACCATAATGATTTATGCAGACTCATATATTTTTTATTATTATTGAATCTATTTAATTTCAGCTTGGGCAATAGCATAATATCCAACATTTTTTAATTTTTTCTTTTGGATTGCATTAATGTTGTCAGGCTCTAACTCTTTACCATCATCAATTATTGATATTTATTGTGATATCAATTGAATACTAGCAGAAGCATCAGGATCTGACAGCTTTGCTTATAAATCTGCTAAAGTA